TCATTTTACTTGAGTAAAATAACCCGCGTGTGCGCCGGGCTCTACGTCACGCGCCGCGAATAGCGCGACGATATCCCGGCACGCACGCACGCACGCACGCACGCACGTACGCACGCACGTACGCCGCCGGGGTCGTCGTCGTCGTCGTCGTCGTCGTCGTCGTCGTCGTCGTCGTCGTCATGAGGCACACCTATAACCCGGAGGTTCTAGCCTGTGTCATGACTCAGTCTGAAGATTCCCCCCACCCCCCAGGGATATGCCGTCGGGGTAGCGTCATAGGCAACGAGGAATAGCACCGAGGGTGACATGACGACGGTAGACAGCTGTCTGTTCAATTTTATATCATATATACGAGTTGCTGCTATCGCATCCCGTTAATGAGCCTAATGAACATAACGAGGGCCGAGCGAGAACGGAAGAGGTATAATTGCCATGGCAACGCCGACACCACACTCATTATACTGCTATACTCATTCGAACGCTTTTAATAGACAGTTTTCATTTCCCCTGTGTCAGTGTGCGGCAGCGTGCGTGCGGTGTACATGTGTGTTGCAGAGGAGCATTTGCACGGCATTTACAGGAAATTCTCGGCAATAATAGGCGAAAGAAAGTAGAGAAACATGAAGATTTTGGTAGTAAATAAATTTCGTATTTATTTAGCATGATATTTTATTGAAACGCTCCAGGCGCCTGTGCTGGGCACTGCTGCTATATATACGTGCATGCACGCACACTCGCACAGGAAACACTAATATTTTTGTCAGTGATAAAACATAGCTTCAAAGGTTTTGTGTTTACAGTAATCGTGAATATCAAGGGTGAGTTGGCATGCAGTGAAATCATCTTACTTCGCCATACACTACTTGACGCAGATTTATACCAAACTTCAAAAAACTAAAGTCAGTATTAAGTAAAGATTTAAAATGTAAAAGAAAGATCGGTCAGCGTTATTTAATCCCCAATCGGTCCTTCCATCTTTATGCATTGCCCTAGCGCTTCTCTGCTTGCCAACTCGTCGCCAATTACTGTCACCCTTCAAAGCAAGCTAGCCGTATAATCCACAGGCACTTGAAGCGTTTCAATAAAACATATACGCAGGGGTCATAATATTTAACTGTCGCCGTGCACAGCACACGACCCCTGCGTATATATTTTATTGAAACGCTTCAAGTTCCTGTGGTATAATCTATCAGAATCGCAGTGACTGATAAAATTCATATGCGTTTCCACATGTCCATGGGTATGGAATTTCCCCTGCTGATATTACTCACGCCTGCCAGGCTGCTTTGAGTCCTCGAAAACTGGAAATCGCCGAAGACCGACCTTTTAAGAAGACAAATAAACTGGAGAACCAACATCTCGAATTCTCGATCGTGACAGAAATAGAAACATCATTCAAAAACTAGAAAGGGCAGTTGTCGCCAACTACATGTATCCCCCGTGTTCTCCCCAAGATGTGTAAGTATACGAAGTTTGGTTGCGCTAGGTCAATTAGGGGCCAAGTGATAGAACGGGAAAAAATATGATAAAGGTCAAGGTCAAGGTCAAG